TCTCCTCTCCGTCTCTCTCCTCTCTCCTCTCCGTCTCTCTCTCCCTCTCCGTCTCTCTCTCCCTCTCCGTCTCTCTCTCCCTCTCCGTCTCTCTCTCCCTCTCCGTCTCCTCTCTCCCTCTCCGTCTCTCTCTCCCTCTCCGTCTCTCTCTCCCTCTCCGTCTCTCTCTCCCTCTCCCTCTCCTCTCCCTCTCCGTCTCTCTCCCTCTCCGTCTCTCTCTCCCTCTCCGTCTCTCTCTCCCTCTCCCTCTCTCCTCTCCGTCTCCTCTCCCTCTCCCTCTCCTCTCCTCTCCCTCTCCTCTCCCTCTCCCTCTCCGTCTCCCTCTCCCTCTCCTCTCCCTCTCCCTCTCCGTCTCTCTCTCCCTCTCCGTCTCTCTCTCCCTCTCCCTCTCCTCTCTCTCCCTCTCCGTCTCTCTCTCCCTCTCCTCTCTCTCTCCCTCTCCGCTCTCTCTCCCTCTCCTCTCTCTCTCCTCTCCTCTCTCTCTCCCTCTCCGTCTCTCTCTCCCTCTCCGTCTCTCTCCTCCTCTCCGTCTCTCTCTCCCTCTCCTCTCTCTCCTCTCCTCCTCTCTCTCTCCCTCTCCGTCTCTCTCTCCCTCTCCGTCTCTCTCTCCCTCTCCGTCTCTCTCTCCCTCTCCGTCCTCTCTCTCTCCCTCTCCGTCTCTCTCTCCCTCTCCGTCTCTCTCTCCTCTCCGTCTCTCTCTCCCTCTCCGCTCTCTCTCCCTCTCCTCTCTCTCCCTCTCCGTCTCTCTCTCCCTCTCCGTCTCTCTCTCCTCTCCGTCTCTCTCTCCCTCTCCGTCTCTCTCTCTCTCTCTCTCCGTCTCTCTCTCCTCTCCGTCTCTCTCCCTCTCCCTCTCTCTCCCTCTCGTCTCCTCTCCCTCTCCTCTCTCTCTCCTCTCTCTCCCTCTCCTCTCCTCTTCTCCTCTCCCTCTCTCTCCCTCTCCTTCCTCTCTCTCCCTCTCCTCTCTCTCTTCCCTCTCCTCTCTCTCTCTCCCTCTCCCTCTCTCTCTCTCTCCTCTCTCTCTCTCCCTCTCCTCTCTCTCCTCTCCCTCTCCCTCTCTCTCCCTCTCCCTCTCTCTCCCTCTCCCTCTCCCTCTCCTCTCCCTCTCCCTCTCTCTCCCTCTCCCTCTCTCTCCCTCTCCCTCTCTCTCCCTCTCCCTCTCTCTCCCTCTCTCTCCTCTCTCTCCCTCTCCTCTCTCTCTCCCTCTCTCTCTCTCTCTCCCTCTCCCTCTCTCTCCCTCTCCCTCTCCTCTCCCTCTCTCTCCCTCTCCCTCTCTCTCCCTCTCTCTCTCTTTCCCTTTCTCTCTCTCTTTCTCTTTCCCCTCTCTCTCTCTCTTTCTCTTTCCCTCTCTCTCTCTTTCTCTTTCCCTCTCTCTCTCTCTCTCTTTCTCTTTCCCTCTCTCTCTCTCTCTCTCTCTTTCTCTTTCCCTCTCTCTCTCTCTTTCTCTTTCCCTCTCTCTCCTCTCCTCTTCTCTTCCCTCTCCTCTCCTCTCTTCTCTCTTTCCCTCTCTCTCTCTCTCTTCTCTTTCTCTCTCCCTCTCTCTCTCTCTTTCTCTTTCCCCTCTCTCTCTCTCTTTCTCTTTCCTCTCTCCCTCTCTCTCTCTCTTTCTCTTTCCCTCTCTCTCTCTCTTCTCTTTCCCTCTCTCTCTCTCTTTCTCTTTCCCTCTCTCTCTCTCTTCTCTTTCCCTCTCTCTCTCTCTTTCTCTTTCCCTCTCTCTCCCTCTCCCTCTCTCTCCCTCTCCCTCTCCCTCTCTCTCCTCTTCCCTCTCTCTCTCTCTTCTCTTCCCCTCTCTCTCTCTCTTCTCTTCCCTCTCTCTCTCTCCTCTCTTCTCTTCCCTCTCTCTCTCTCTCTCTCCTCTTCTCTTCCCTCTCTCTCTCTCTTCTCCTCTTCCCTCTCTCTCCCTCTCTCTCTCTCTTCTCTTCCCTCTCTCTCTCTCTTCCTCTCTTCCCTCTACCTCTCTCTTCTCTTCCCTCTCTCTCTCTCTTCTCTTCCCTCTCTCTCTCTCTTTCTCTTTCCCTCTCTCTCCCTCTCCCTCTCTCTCCCTCTCCCTCTCCCTCTCTCTCTCTTTCCCTCTCTCTCTCTCTTTCTCTTTCCCCCTCTCTCTCTCTCTTTCTCTTCCCCTCTCTCTCTCTCTTTCTCTTTCCCTCTCTCTCTCTCTCTCTCTCTCTTTCTCTTTCCCTCTCTCTCTCTCTTTCTCTTTCCCTCTCTCCCTCTCTCTCTCTCTTTCTCTTTCCCTCTCTCTCTCTCTTTCTCTTTCCCTCTCTCTCTCTCTTTCTCTTTCCCTCTCTCTCTCTCTTTCTCTTTCACTCTCTCTCTCTCTTTCTCTTTCCCTCTCTCTCTCTCTTTCTCTTTCCCTCTCTCTCTCTTTCTCTTTCCCTCTCTCTCTCTCTCTCTCTCTCTCTCTTTCTCTTTCCCTCTCTCTCTCTCTTTCTCTTTCCCTCTCTCTCTCTCTTTCTCTTTCCCTCTCTCTCTCTCTTTCTCTTTCCCTCTCTCCCTCTCTCTC